GAGTTTTGAACATGGCAATGAGTTAACTGTACTCAAATGCCCTCCACAGTTACCCGATCTCAGTCCAATAGAGCACATTTTGGATGTGGTGCAATGGGAGATTTGCATCATGCGTGCGTGATGCTATCATGTAAATATGGACTAAAATCTCTGAAAAATATTTCCAGTATCTTGTTGAATCTATGCCACAAATAATTAAGGCAGTTCTGAAGGTAAAAGGGGGTCCATCCTGGTACTAGTAAGGTGAACCTAATAAAGTGGCCAGTGAGTTTACATATTATATGTATGTATGTAAACATTTAAAACCATTAAATCGTTTTCCAGAGATGGGTTGCGGCTGGAAGGGCATCTGCTGCATAAAAACTTGCTGGAAAAGTTGGCGGTTCATTCTGCTGTGGTGACCCCAGATTAATAAAGGGACTAAGCCGAAAAGAAAATGAATGAATGAATGAATAAACCATTCAATCATAATACACACATTTTAGAAAGACTTTAACATTCTAGGATTGTAAATAGCAACATTTTAAAATGATAGTTCCCCCCAAAAATGAAAAATACTTTGCGCATTTATTGTTCCACATGTATTGTTGTTAGTTTCATTCTTCTGTTGAACACAAAATGATACTGTATATTGACGATTGCTGGTTGCTGGCAGCCATCAACTTCCAATTTTTTATTGCAAAATTTCACCTTCTTTTGTGTTCAAGAAGGCTTCTTTTGCCACTGAAGGCTGATTATTGTAAATGATGGGAGGATTTTCATTTTTGAGTGAACTATGCCTTTAAAATGTATCATGCCCATATAATTTATATTTTACAAGCTCGCTCATTTCAGTGTATAGAAAGATTACTTATCTTTGGAAACACGTAAATATTTACATTCCAATTTTTTAGATGAATACCACCAATTAAATTGTCTCATCAGCATTTGTCATGCCCTCAGAGGCTGCTTCTTTACACTTTTAAATGCAGTTACGAAACACAGCCTGAATCATGTCTTACTCCATTGAACAGTCTCTTGAGAAATTGGAAGATGCACAATTACATTTTTTTTTATTTAGTTAAAAATAATAATAATAATAATAAAAAAATCACACATCATTTTATAAACAGATGTGGTTGTGAATATTACTTGAATGCCAATTGCAAAAAAAAAGGTGCATTGGGTTTTAATCCAGAAAGCCTTGTATGAGGATAAGATGTACTAAAAATGGCTTGCATGTCAACACTGACAAATGATAATGCAGGTCTCCTTGAAGTCTACACAATTACTTCAAGCATTCAGATACAGCATCCAGCTAATAAAATAATTAATAATGGTTTAACACAATAAGTTACTGTCATTCTCAGTCCACTCCACTGTTTGGAGGCACTCAGTTGGAAAGAGAATCATTTGCACATCAAAAGATATTGGGTATGATTGTGTATATTTAATTAAAAAAAATTATTTAAACAGCAATGAATATTCAAGATATCGACCTCAGACTAAATATATGTTATATTGTTTCTTAGGGCACTAACATACACCCAGCACAATAAGGTGCAAGACATGTTTGTGCGATTTGTTGATATTTTCAGACCAGTGCAACAGTAATTTTCACGTTTTGCACAATGTTGTTTAAATAGCAAATCCATTTGCACAACTTTGTGGACTCATGGGCTGGTCTAAAAAGGAGGTATGTTAAGGTGCATTGTTGGCGCGTTGCTATTTTGAAGAACAGAAATAGAATGCACCATTGACCATCTAAACGCAGATCTAAAGTCCAGCACAGAGAGCATTAGTTATGTGCCTTTGTGGGTTCAAATGTAGACACATTGTTTAATACGCACAAAATGTACAGCAATACACAAATATCTTACAAAAAAATTTAAATTAAAGGATAAAAATATGTTACAAAATATATTAATTCATTCATTTTCTTTTCGGCTTAGTCCCTTTATTAATCATGGGTCGCCACAGCGGAATAAACCGCCTACTTATCCAGCATATATTTTATTCTTTGTGCTTAACAAACATAATTAAATATGTAGGCAAATGGATGTCTTCAGTGGAGTGCATACAAAACCGTTTCCTTATCCACCAAAGGGATAAAGAGTTAAAGTAAAGAGGTCGAATGGAGGAGGCTCATTCTTTATCCTCAAGCTGCAGATGGTCTGCTTAACTGTTTTCACACAAGTCAAGCATTCAGTTTGTCCATTCAGTTTTTCTACTTACAAAGTGCGCATGTAAATATGTAATGTAATGTGCGCATGAAATGTGCCATGGCACGACTCAACTGACTCTTAAAGGGAATGTTAGATGAGACTCTGGTTGGTTTAATGCACGTTATACTCAAAACACACTCTTAACACAATAAGAAAATAAGCACAACCCTGTTAGACCATACACAGCGGCACAGAGTATATTTTTTTGTCCTTAAAATAGCAAAAGTGGATTCAGACAAGCCCTTAATGCTTTTGCACCATGCACTTTAGACTTTGCGCCTAGAGTAAAATAGAGCCCTTAGAGTTCCCAAGAGATCATTTGGGTGTCCAAACTAATTTCACAAGATTAGTAAGGGTGGTACAGAGGTCACTATGGAGGATACTAAAAAAAACAACAACAAAAAACAAAACAAAAAAACAATTGGAATCAAGACAAATTCATAAGGTTTTTTTATTTGTACGTTATCAGATATACTGAAACCTGGAAGTTTTGTTTTCTATTAAATAAGCAATATTTCTGCAAGAATACACTAGGATGAACCTAAATAAAACTTAAAAAAGGAAAGCTATATTCTTCTAAAAAACGATCTGTTAAAATGACAACATAAATGTGTATGTTTGTCCATTCAAAGTGTCCTACAAAGCTAACTCAGCTTTTAAGGAAAAAACTAAAAAACTAAATGCCTCTAAAAAGCAGTAAACCTCTAGAAATATGTGCGATGCATCTTAAAACTGTAGTGAACAGAATCGTGGTTAAAATATTATTCATTATCCTTTGATCACTGCCAAAAGAAAAGGCAATTAAATGAGTAGTATTGATCTTTTTAGATGATCCTCACCCCTCAACATTAGGCAGAATTGAACAGTTCTGCCTTTAATCTACTAAAACTCTTCATTTGATTGCATCCTATAACTACCTTGTCTAGCCATATATTTATACCTATACATATGTGTGTGGATATACAGATTTTCTGTATTCTGTTGAACACAAAAGAAGTTATTTTAAAGATAGTTCTGTAACCGTTGACTTCCATGGTAGGAAAAATAGATACTATGGGAAGTAACAGGTCTCCAGCTTTGTTCAAAATATTTTCTTTTGTCTTTAACAGAAGACAGAAAATCATAATGGGCTGAAAAAAAGTGAAAGGTGAATAAATATTACAGAATTGTAATATTTGGGTGAATTATCCCTTTAATCTTTAGAAAAGGCAGAACGGTAGATTATTATAGGTGCTCCAGTTTCCCCCACAGTCCAAAGACATGTGCTGTAGGTAAATTGAACAAACTAAATTGGCCATAGTGTATTAGAGCTTGTCAAGTCGTCAAGTCCCTCTCATCATGACCAAAATATAACAGGTATACCGCAAGTATCAATGCCAGCAAAATACATGCATGTGCAGTGAAAATATATGGTCATGTATCATGCATTTTAGTTTGTATAAAGAGTACACAGACTTCTTCTGAAGCGCAATAAAAATGCAAGTGTAAACAAGGGTTTTTTTTAGTCTAAAATGTTGGTAAACTACGATATCACATTTTAAACTTTAGTTCATGTGTAATTTAGCGGTGTGAACATAATATCTCTGAATGTAAAAAGTTCAAAGTTTACATAGGCTTTTACATAGTTAGCTTTACAAAACCTACAGCGAATGAAGTTTGGGGACTACAAAAAATACATCCAGGTTAGTGAGATCACAAACGCTTCAGGTTATGCGTATTTACCCTGCGCAGGGGCGTGGCTAGAGGCACTGTAATGTTATAGCAGAGAAAGCTGAAATGTTGTCCAAATGCTGCTATTTCCAAAGAGTGTGTTCTGTTTCTGTATTTGGGATTGCAAAGGCATAAAATAAAGAGAGAAGTGCTTACAATTTAATCTTAATTATGCTCAAAAAAAAAAAAAAATTATATATATATAGCATTTGACAAAGAACAGCTTCCAGAATCTCTCCCAGTTCAGTTTATTGTTAACGGTATGTTGCAACAAGGACGTAAACAAGGATGTAAACACAGGGAAATGCTGTTTGGCACTGTTAACAATTTAGCTACAAATTCATATTCATCAGTCAAACCCCTGTAAACAGCCACAATCTTCAGCAGTGATACAGTGTCTCTCTATACGGGTGCTTTCCCTGCGTTCTACATTTCAAATACAAACTCATAAGAGATATGTGAACGTTTCATATTACTTACACATGCTTATTCTGAGGATGTAAAAGACACTTGTCTGATTTTATTTTAGAGAGCAGGTGTAAGCTGTGTCCTCTGTGTCATATTCAATCTGATTTAGGCTCAAACTGATACGCCTAAGAGCTACTCTGACAAACAGTATTTACACAGCAGAGGCAACGTGCGTGCTTGTGGAGGTATGACGCTTTTTCTGGTGCCAATTCGTAAATCACAGCACATTATGTTAGCTGACCAATCAGAGGTTTTGAGGTTGGGTTTTTGAAGGAACTAGTAAATAAGACGGTCATTTTCATGCTAGCTAAGTAGCTGTGCATAATCAAAGTAAGATATGAAAATACAACTTGATTTTTTTTTTTACAAATGAAGCATGCGCACACATTGCTTTGCAGCTTAAAAACACAGCCAAGCCTTAAAAATACACTTTGGCTCACCACTTAAAAACAAATAACCTTCTACTGTAAACACAGCCTCATTGTTTGTTCAGCAAACTTCATGCAACAAGCCACAGGGGTGTTTAAAAAGGTTGTTATTTTTGTAATCCCACTGTGTGACACTAGGACATAAAGAGGTGTAAAGTAGTAAGGAATACTGTAACATGGCTCAGCTCACCAGTGACGTTGTTTCTGTTCTGGGACTCTTGTCTTTGTGTTGCATTGCATTGCTCTTGAGCCTTCATATGCGCAGCCACCAGAGCACACGCAGGATGAATCGTTTCCACCTGTGAATGATGATAAGAAAAAAAAAGTGTGAAATTACAAAATGCAGCACTTATCAAGAAAGCGCATAAACATGCTGAGCCCATTAGAGAAGCTCAGTGAAAGAGCAATTTCACAATTTCAGTCACCTGCCGTTAAGTCAAACAGACAATCAAATCAGGGAGAAAATAAAAACACTTACAAGCATTTCAAATACTATTTGCCAACAGCTTGAACATTCATTTAACTCCATTTGTGTTCCACGGCAGCTAGATAACATGGATTTTATAACAGTTATTTTGCTGTTAACAGTTCCGAAATGAATCCTACATCCACAAAAGGGATCTAAATCTTTATCAGACTGAGACTTGCAAGCATCTCGTCAATAAGCCCCAGCCACACTCCAAAATTAGTCTGCAAAATCTCATTATCTCTGAAGCAGCCATTGAACCCATTTGAGCCTCTTGCCATCATTTTCTACAAATAAATGCATTACGAAGATAACAGAGAGAAAAATAAGGAGACAATGAACATATAGCCAAATGTGTTGGGACGCTGTCTAATCCACAACATAAAAGAAAAAAGTTGCTTTGGTTTTACCTCTTTAGCTGCACAAAAAAGGACCTGTAATGGCCACCCACTTATTCCAGAGAGGAATGAGAGAGAGAGTCAGAGGTGGGTGAATGCTAATGATCCGATTAAGCCCGAGGTTATGATGGAACGAGCTGTGGAAACAAATTCAGAAGTTCCTGAAACAGGCCTACGTATCTCCAAAGGAAAACAGAGCTGGTGAATCATAACAATACCAGAAAAAGGGAGTTGTATTTATTCTAGAGGGAAGCTTCAGGCATCCATGTGTCATATCAGTGATGTGTAAATCAAATCCGTAGAATGACGTGAGCATGGAAATAAAGCTAAACATTCCAAGCAACGTTGAAAATTAGTCAGGGGGTGCTTGACGTGTGTTTATGTCCCTTTCACTTCAAGCAAACAGGTATGCGTGTTATCAGGCCCCAAGTTGCTGCAGTGAGTGAGTGAATTTGTTTGTGGCTGTTTGTATTTAGAAAACTCTGCGTGTTTGCTCGTCTGTTTGCCTGCGAGTGCTTGTTAGTGCTTGTGTTTTCTCAAAATTCTAAACCAGAACAGATGGTTGCGCTGTTGGTTTCGGTGACCTCTGTCGCCTGCTGGCAGGTGAGATAAGAGAGGAGGGGAAGCGGATGAGTTAGAGAAGTTTTCTCAGGGTGACATACAGTACAGTGCATTTGTACAATAAAAGAAAAGACTCTCTCACAAACATGCCTTGCAGTTCTTTAAAAGAGCCGGATTCTTAAGGATGGAAAACTGCTTTCAAATATATATATACAGCTTTAAATGCACATCTTATGAAAAAGCTAAATAATTGCATTTTATTTTACACCTTCTTGGGTTAAAGTGTGTCATTTTGTTTCTTTAGATATTAGCTTTTATTCAATACCATAGCTGTTTGTGCAAATTATTTGCAAAGCTTCAAATGTCAAACAGAGCTATTGGCTGTAAATAGAAAGAAGAGATTCAAAACATTTGTAAAAATATATATATTTGCTTCAACCAGAGTGACATAAGTGCATCTGGAAAGTATTCATAGTGCTTCACTTTTCCCACATTTTTATGTTACAGCCTTATTCCAAAATTGATTAAATGCATTTATTTCCTCAAAATTCTACACTCAATACCCCATAATGACAATGTGAAATAGATTTTTTGAAACTGCTGCAAATTTATTAAAAATAAAAAACCTGAAAAAAAATGCATGTACATAAGTATTCACAGCCTTTGCTAAATCCTTTGTTGATGCACCTTTGGCAGCAATTAAAGCCTCAAGTCTTTTTGAATATGATGCCACAAGCTTTGCACACCTGTCTTTGGGAATTTTTGCCCATTCCAAGATCTATCAGGTTGGATGGGAAGCGACGATGTACAGCCATTATCAGATCTCTCCAGAGATGTATAATAGGATTTAGGTCTGGGCCCTGGCTGGGCCACTCAAGGATATTCACTGTGTTGTTGTGAAGCCACATCATTGATATTTTGGTGGTGTGCCTCATGTCATTGTCCTGCTGGAAGATGAACCGTCGCCCCAGTCTGAGGTCAAGAGCACTCTGAAGCAGGTTTTCATTCAGGATGTCTCTGTACATTGCTGTATTCATCTTTCCCTCTATTCTGACTAGTCTTCCAGTTCCTGCTGCTGAAAAACATCCCCACCGCATCATGCTGCCACCACCATGCTTCGCTGTAGGGACGGTATTAGCTTGGTGATTAACAGTGTCTGGTTTTCTCCAAACAAAACACCTGGCATTTACTCAAAAGAGTTCAATTTTAGTCTCATCAGAGCAGAGAATTTGGTTTCTTATAGTCTGAGAGTCCTTCATATGCTTTTTGGCAAATTCCAAACAGGGAGTGGTTTCCATCTGGTCACTCTACCATACAGGCCTGATTGGTGAATTGTTGCACAGATGACTGTCCTTCTTTAAGGTTCTCCTCTCTCCACAGAAGAACGCTGGAGCTCAGACAGAGAGACTATCGGGTTATTGATCACCTCCCTGACTAAGGTCCTTCTCCCTGATCACTCAGCTTTAATGGCCGGCCAGCTCTAGGAAGAGTTCCGGTGGTTCAAAACATCTTTCCCTTATGCATGATGAAAGCTACTGTGCTTAATGGAACTTTCGGAGAAGAAGACATTTTTCTGTAACCTTCCCTGTCCTTGTGCCTCAAGACAATCCTGTCTCGAAGGTCTGCAGACAATTCCTTTGTCTTCATGCTTGGTTTGTGCTTTGACATGCACTGTCAACCCTGGGACCTTATATAGACAGGTGTATGCCTTTTCGAATCATGTCCAATCACCTGAATTTACCACAGGTGAACTCCAATTAAGCTGAAACATCAAGAATGATCACTAGATACAGAATGTACCTGAACTCGATTTAGAGCTTCACGGCAAAGGCTGTGAATACTTATCCACAGGTATTATTAGTTTTTTTTTTTTTTTTTTTTTTATAATAAATTTACAACAATTTTAAAAAAAATCTTTTTTTCACATTCCCATTGTGGGGTATTTGTGTGTAGAATGTTGATGAAATAAATGAATTTTATTCATTTTGGAATAAGGCAAACTTGCACCACATTTTTGGGTAAGTAATGGTACCTTTACTTGAGTCTGATTTTTCAGTACTCTTTCCTTCGCTGCCAAGTTTAAAATAAACAGCAATTTCGCCCTACTACCTTATCTTCATTTTTGAAAGAATCTTCCACCCCATCTCCTACTTTTCCTCCTTTTAGCAGGGGGAGCTCTTGAAACCTACCTGATCTCGAACTCACTTATATGCTCATTGACCAGGCGCAAGTCTGGGCTCAATGCTCTTTCCTGGGACAGCATGCCAAACCTGCTAATACTGTCAAGCAATATCTAAGTGTGAAAGACATTTAAAGAAAATTTAAATACATTTTTTTTTAAAAATCACATTTAGTCACAACATGCCTGAGGTTCAATTAAATTTGATGTAATTTGCACTTAACCGGCACTAAAGTTTTGAGAGTAAATGAGTATGCCTGATTTCGTTAATTTTGAGTTCTTTTGTGTTCTGTGGAAGACAGACAACATGGTTTCTGCCAACATGAGGGTGAGTAAATGATAAACCCTAAAAGTTTATTCTTGGCTAATGATAAACCAAAAGAAAGTTTATCCGCATGCAAGTAAAACAATTACACTGAAATTAGTTTACTGCGGCACCAGAATAACCTTTTTAGCACGTCAAATATATTAAGTAATAATATGTATTTTGAATGATTGTTTTTGTTTTTTGACATTTAGATTATTTAAGATATAAAATAGCAGAAAATAAATATGTTTGCTAAATAGGGGCAGTGTTGTTTAAGATCATTGATATGCTATAATAGATTTTTTTTTAACTTTGTTTGAATGGGTACGCTAAAATTGACCGCAGTGTATGTGTGTGAACGAGTGTGTATGGATGTTTCCCAGAGATGGGTTGCAGCTGGAAGGGCATCCACTGCGTTAAACATATGCTGGATAAGTTGGCGGTTCATTCCGCTGTGGCGACCTCAAATTAACAAAGGGACTAGGCCAAAAGGAAACTGAATGAATGAATTAATGAATGAACTTTGTTTGAAGTTAAAAGTCTTCACCTTGGTTGTGTTGACATTTTTATTCTTAATTTAATGTCTTAAATATCTTGAGAATGTTGAAAATGTTTCCATTAAGATATAAAAATGATTTTTTTTAGTTTACTGTAAATGTTAGCTTTAAGAAACAATAACAAAGGGAAAAAAAATATTGATTAATCTCTTTTTATGTGGCAAAATCAGTACCGTTTCTCAGAAGCTGTAAATCAATATTTCTCCAGTGTTCGTTCTGTATTCTGAATGCATGGGTCTTAATGTATCCATATGTACCCGAAACAAAAATAGTTTATATACAGGTCTGTGGCTGAAATTAATCAATAACAGAACCAAATGAAAATTACAGCCCGCGACTAAAAACTGAATTGAATCAGAAGATCTGAAAGAACACCCAGCCCTAATAATAAGCCATCTAAGGGCAAAAGATGTAGGTTTCTTGCATTGAAATCACAGTAAATTGGCACAACTGTTTAGTGCAGTCCTGAAAGTGAAAAGAATTTAAAAACGACACACCATTGCAAACTTTCCTAAGCATTTTCCTTTACATCGCATCTGTCAAATAGGTCTTGACTCTGCATTTCCCTGTGTGACCTAGTTTTCCTGTTCTGTTTCCTTCTTTTATTATAGTACTTCATGAGTTTCACCTGTCCGTGATTTTGGTTCTTATCTATCAGTCTGTCTATTTAAGCCCTGGTGTTTTCTCAGTGTTTTGTCTGGGGTTTGTTCTTCGTACGTGGATTACTCAAGTTTTAAAAATATATAAATAAAATTGATACAATTTGCACTTTGAAATAGAAGTATAAGACTGGGGTGGTTTCTCTTAAGGGGCTCAAAGAGAACATTTATT